ATCATGTCCCGCAGGCTTATCGGACAATCAGGTTGGAAAGAAGTTTGAGAAGTGGGTTTTGGATGGAAGAGATGAAGTTTATAGAAGAGGAATTACTTTTTTCCGGTGGGCCGCAGGAGTTTAGTCGCTTTCATTGGGCCAATAAAAGAAAAGAAAAAAAGAAGGAAACTTGTGGGTCGCTAGGAAAATGGGAAAACCACGGGCTTGAATTGAAATATTAGTCCGTTTTGAGGAAAAATTATGAGGTACACAGTCCGCACCGTGGAAATAGGGTTTGGCCTGTCAAAATAATTTGTTATTCCTGAACGGCTCTTGTTCAATTGATTAAATAGTTTTTATTATTTTACTCTCTCTCTCTCTCTCTCTCTCTCTCTCTTAAATAGTTTTTATTATTTTACTCTCTCTCTCTCTCTCTCTCTCTCTCTCTTAAATAGTTTTTATTATTTTACTCTCTCTCTCTCTCTCTCTCTCTCTCTCTATCTCTCTCTCTCTCTCTCTCTCATGAGTGTTATTTTTAAATAAATAATTAATTACAACGCTACAAAGATTTATAATCAATTATAAGTACTAATTAAAAATATATTAAATTCTATTTAAATGAATATTTTAAAATAAATAACAAGATTTAAATCTCGTCTTACTCTTAACATCTTACTATTGTATGATTAAGGTTATCAAAATAGCTCATTATTCGTGAATAACTCATGTTCGGCTTGATTAGCAAGTGAGTTAAACATAAATAAATTTTTTAAGCTCAATGCATAAACAAGTCGAACACGAATAATTGTTTTTTTTTTAACAAGCCAAGTCTGGGCTCACTCAAGCTCTGCTCGTTTACACCTCTAACGGTTGCATGCATGACTAGGATTCTCAAAATAGTTTTTTATTCTTGAATAGCTCGTGTTCGACTAGCTAAGCAAACAAGTCAAACATTTTTGTGTTTGAAATATAAACTAGTCGAACACAAACAGTGATGTTTTTTAACGAGTCGAGCATGAGTTGAGCCCAGGCTTGCTCGTGCTCAGCTCATTTACACCCTAATCAGGACTCTCTCTCTCTCTCTCTCATGCCCCCTCTCTCTTCCTATTGGGCCCCGCATCCTCTCTCCTCCTATTGGGCTTCCACACCGCACCTGATAATTTTTCCCATTTCAAGATGGTGTAAGCTTTATGTTCGATCGCACTCAACAAAGTGGAAGATATGAAAGATTTACATTATCAGAATGTTTATGAGTTTGATTCCTCAACTGGATTTTTGAAGGACACTCCTTGAAACAGAGCCTCAGTCTAGACGCCACACAAATTCAATTGTGAGATGTTATATCATCATATATGTGAATTTGTGCTGATGTGACCTTCCGTGATTGACCATCAGAATGGGTGATATTTGGACATAATATTTTCTCCGGCTTGAAGTAAGTGTAAACAAAAATAGCACTTATTATACCTTACACAAGCTTGACTCACTTATCAAATGACAAACTTCATAGCTTTTTTTATGTTTATTTTTTGGGAAAAATTGGGGCCATAAACATAGAGCTCGGACTGATATATTAAGTTCGAGACAGCTCAACTTACCAACTCGCGGCTCGAGCTTACCGCATGTGATTGAGTTGTTAGAAAAAAAAATCATAATATGAAAAAAAATTAAGAAGTAAATTCAATACAATTAAGTATATAAAATTAAAATAATGAAATTGAAATATTTTTTGAGGTATTACAATTAAACAATAAAAACCAATATTTAAAATTTCTAAATATTTTATATGCTATCGAATGAATTTATTTCAAAAATTAAAGAGCCAAAATTAATATACGCAAAATTGTTCAAATGTTACTGGACCGGTTAATTTGATCTGCCCTACTGTGAACTAGTCTAATGAAACGTCAAACCAGTCCCAATTTAGTAAAACCGCTCGGTTCAATTTTTGTGCTTTTAATCATAGTTAATCAAAGAATTAATGGCTACAGTTAGGCGTGTAAATGAGTTGATTAGCTCTACTAAACAATCTTTTGTTAGGTATGGTTTATATAGCAGATAAGCGACACTGGTTGAAGCGGAACAGAGCGAGCAAGAGGAGCGGAGCTAGTTTCGTTATGTGGGTTGAGGGTGTGGGGGCAACATCACCGCGGCACAATACATGAGTAATTTTGTAATTGCATATTGTACGCCAGTGTTATCTCTCTCTCTCTCTCTCTCTCTATATATATATATATATATATAAAATGTATTGTAACCCTAAGCGATCTTGTACTCTTTTTTTGAATTCAAGGAAAAGCCGCCGCTCTGCTCCCGAGAACGTAGGCAAATTGTCGAACCTCGTTAAATCTCTGTGTTTTCTTCTTGTTTTGCGTCGATTCTTGCGATTTTTTTGCCCAAAAATTCTCAACACATTTTTTATTCTTAAATCTTGTGTGTGGCATTCCCTCAGTCCTTGCATGCGGCCTTGCAACAATTCTTTTCTGTATGATCATGACGACACTTTTCGTTGAACCTCCCCTTAAACGTAACATTCTCTTCTTCTTGAGTGCGACCCTTCATTTCTTTTATGCTCGCCCTTGAATTCCTCACCAGTGGGAGAAAATATTACATTCGGATGGCCAACTGACAGACGATAGCTCAACATACACCTCACCTCATAGCATCCGGCCATGCCTAGCTGTCGCCCGACAAATTAGCCTTCATGTAGTCATTGAGACAATATATTTTTCCAACCATAGTTTATTCACATTACCAAGAGTTTATTGCTTTGTTTTTAAATAATCTTGTTGCATTGTTGGGATTCTGACTAGAACTTCTAACATGAAATTTGAAATTTCTTTTTTGTATTTATTCCATTCCTTGAAATTAGTTTTGTTATCTTTACGTTGATATTATTAACCGCCTATATTTTGAGCTATTGTTCGGAAATCATTGTGAGTTATTTGTTTTTTGATCTTAGCTATGTGTCCAGTTTCAAAATCTCGAGATAATCTGCATTTTTTTAATTAGATTTTTTTAATAAATCTTGAGCATGCATCTCTATCTGTATTCTGCTTTGTTTATTCTCTCATGGTATAAGAAATTAGGGGTTGTATGATAACTTATTTAGAGTTTGTTTGAGGCTGCTGCAGCTGTTTGAAGCAATAACTGTGAAGCTGCTAAATAAGAAATCATTGTTCAAAAAGTTGAGATGACTATTACAGAAAAAAAAAATATTATTGGAAGAGAGATTGCAGCTTTCTAGCAGTCACCACAAGTAGTCAGATCTGATCGAAAAACATAGTATTCAAGCAAAATACAGTTTTAGTAAAGGGAAAAAACTATGGAATCGGCCCAAACTCACTCTTAGGGAATTCATAGGGAATATTTGTTAGTCTTTTAATTGGACTTACTCCCTAATTTATTAAATCCAACCAAAAGGCAAAAATGCTGTAGTTCCTTAGATTTATGAATATTTTGGATTTAGCATATGTAATTTGGGCTTGGATCCTAAATATAGATTTATTAAATTCAAATGATGGGTGGATTTACGGACTTACGGGCTTAGGAATTTACAAATGCCTATCAACATTAGGTCCTACTTCCGGCCACTTTAAGCAGTATTTAAATTAAAAAATCTAAAATTTAATAAATCTAGTTTCATCTCAAGTTATTCTCTGTCTTCATTTAATCTTAATTTTATTAAATACTGCTGTTGACAAAGAATTTAATAAATATGAATTTATATGATTTACTTAAGCTGCTCTTTATTAGACCATATGGTTGAATAGATTATGTGTGTTATTTGAGGGTTATGTATTACTTTCATTTGAAAATTGGCTTGAAGGTTTTGAGTCAGTATTTGATGATTAAAGTATTATATTTAAAATATAGGTGGTTAAAATATGATATTCATTATTTTGGGTCATTGTTATGTAAAAATTCCTAATTTTAATGATTTAAAAGAAAATAATCATTTAAATAATAAGACAATCATTTTTTAAAATACAAAAGATATGTATTTTTTATATAATTTATATTTCATGATATATTTTTCTTAAATTAATTATACATATTCTATCATTTTAAATTTATTTAAATAATTTTTACATTTACAATTCACTCCAATTCAATGTTTTCTTTTTCTTTTAATTTAATATCGAATAAGGCTTTAGAAATCATGCTCATATGGATGATTTAAAAAAAAACACAAATCACTAAAAAGCAAGAGAGAAATTTACACAAAACCCCCAATTCTTATGCATTTAACTATTCCACACCCAAGCTCTCATTTTATAATTCAAACTCCCTTGCTCTTTTTTTTATGTGTTGGTTTAGTATATATTTTTTAATGTTAGTATATTGAATGTGTTCCATTATATTACTATTGCGAACAACTCCACTGTACGTGGCCAAAATGGTCATTTTTCCATAAACAACTGCGAATCAGCTGTTCTCAAACCACAGAAATCAAAAAGCGCAACAGTTTATTCAGTTTAGGGTCAAAATGATCATTTATGCAGAAACAGCTGCAAATCAGCTGTTTTCCAAACGCACAAACTAAACAGTCAGACAACTTTTTTGGATCAGCTGCTCATCAGCAAATTATCAGGATCAGCTGCAGGCAGCTGCCCCAAAAAGACCCTAAGTACTCAACTTATCTTTTCCGTCACTCCAATCCAACCGTGAAATCCAAATTTTCATTCATTGGCAGGGAGTTGATTTTGTAAAAATGAGAGTCTAAGTGTAAGATAAATAAATGCATAAGATTTGAGTGCTATGTATGTAAATTTTTGAAAATAATAATAATAATAATTAAAAATGACTTGATGTTTTGATTTAGTGTTTGTTTGGGGCGGCGGTATGGTAGAGGTATGACACCACACTGTAGTTTTCTCGGTTTGGGTAAATTTTGACAGCTTTTTTAAAAAATTGATGTTGAAATCTGTATTTTCTCATCTCTTTTTGCTAGATGCGATGATAACATTTTAGCTACAGTCTAACGTTAAAAAAAATTATAATATAAACATAACTTTTTGAGCATCTAATTATTACTCAACCAATTACCCTCATTCTCCTACAGCAATAAAAGCATGCTTATTGACACAGAGTCACCAAGCAAAATGTCCACCAATCCATACATAAATACATCCAAAATTTTAATCAAAATAAGAAACTATAACATGTAAATAATAGTGTGGATTGCATATCCCACAACACAACTAAACATACGACTTAATATCTTCAAAACTAAAACAGAGGAGAAGAGGAGCTAACACCCTGTTGAAATGCCCTCATCAATTCACCGCCATGACTTCTCCATAAGCTCCGGGCTCAACCGCACCATGAGCACGCAGAACTCCATCTCGTTGAGCCCGCCGTCTCCATCCAGATCTCCCTCCCTCACCATACATTTCAACTCGTCGTCGCTCATCCCGCCCAGCCCGAGCAGCGCCGCGTTCCGCTTCAGACTCTCAAATGTGATCAGACCCCTCCCCGGATCCATTAGAAGCCGGAATCCATTACAGAGCTCGGCCATCAGCCCCTGTCCTCCCAGCTTCTCGGCCATCCTGGGGATGAAATCCTCGAACTGAAGCGTATTTCTGCGGGCCATTTAGGGTTGCCGAGCGAAGGGGATGGGTGGTGGGGTTTTAAATAGAGGGAGAACCACGGATTCGAGGAAGGAGAGGTCATTGATGCCAGCTGAGTTCTGTTGGGAATCTGCAGAAAATAAAGGGGAGGGAAGCAGGGAAGAGGACGAGTGAGGAGAGGGTTTCTTTCTTCGAAACTGCGCGGGAGGAGGAAAGGTGGCTATTTCGGGAAGAGTAAGGTCGGCGGTTGAGGTTTTGCTTAAAATGTGCGTAAACGATCCGAACCGATGATTTTGGGTTGAGGTGGGAGATTTTTAGACTTGTTACAGCTAGGGTTAGGTCAGCTTGATGCTGTACAAGGAACGACGTCGGCTGAACC